TTCCACATTTGGATCTTAAGGTCTGATGTATTGCTTTGTGTGAAGTGCTAATGTTATGTCTCTGTTTTTTTCGTTCGTCTAGCCATTTGCAAGGGATGTTTAATCGAACGATTCGTCTTCTTGAAGCCGGAATTAAGCCTGTGTAACGTTCTTCTCCCAGATTCTTTATTTGTCTTTCTATATGGGTAGAACCGCTGGGTTTGCCTTTTACTATTACTTTTGCTAAACTAGTTGTTCTGAATTTTGGTACAGCTATGTTTTCGATGGAAAGCCCCCGGAGTTAAAGAGACAAGAACTGGCAAAACGGTATTTTTTTTTATCCCCAATGCTGCTCAAATTGATCCTTAGCTCAAAAACGTTAATGTGAGTTTGTTCACTGTGGTTTGACTCATTCCATTCTTGACTCAGTTACTCCAAGAGAGCCGATGCGACTGCAGATTTGACTGGTGCAATTGAGGTTTGTCACTCTTACTTGCCTTGCTAGTTACTTACCTAGCTTTATTTAAAAACCGAAAGAGCATAATTTTAAGAAGCTATTTCATGTTGACAGGAAGGAAACAAGGTGGACATTGAGAAATACAGCAAACGAACTGTTAAGGTAGTCTATTCTTTTCCATCTATGAATCACTGGATTCCTTAGTTTTTATAGCATTCACTTCAAAGCAGTTGAGTCTAGGACTCTTATTAACACTGGTATAATCTCCTACTCTCCAGGTGACAAAACAACACAATGACGACTGCAAAAGACTCTTAAGACTCATGGGGGTGCCTGTTGTTGAGGTACTTATGTTATCTGCAGCGGCCCGAGGGTCTAAATCTCGTTTACTCTTTCTTTTCTGTTATAATTGAAATGTCAAAGTTCTTGAAAAGAGATTGATGGCTTCTTGCATACAGGCCACTTCCGAAGCAGAAGCACAATGTGCTGCTCTTTGCAAGTCAGGAAAGGTCTGTATTAATTTTTCTGTTCTCTTTACGGTGTTTAGTTTCATGTCTTCAATCTTGTGTAAATGGAGGTATCAGTTGCAATACTTCCTTATGAAAAGCTACTATCTGTTTAGGTGTATGGTGTGGCTTCTGAAGATATGGATTCCTTAACTTTTGGAGCTCCTAAGTTTCTTCGCCACCTGATGGATCCTAGCTCCAGAAAGATCCCTGTCATGGAATTTGAAACTGCTAAGGTCACACACTAATATCTCGTGTACTTGTTAAGTAAATGAGATCATCTCTCAACTTGTGGTCTCGTTTCAGATTTTAGAAGAGCTTCAACTTACCATGGATCAGTTCATCGACTTGTGCATATTGTCAGGATGTGACTATTGTGACAGCATCCGAGGTATCTAGAGATTATTTTGTCTCTTTATAACATTCAACTCTGGGTTATATAGATCAACACTGTTTTTCCTTCTCTCTGAATGTAGAACTCAGGTTATAATCTGATATGCATTTTGTGCTGCAGGTATCGGAGGGCAGACTGCCCTGAAGCTCATTCGGCAGCATGGATCTATCGAGACTATACTCGAAAATATAAACAAAGAAAGGTTTAATTATTAAACAGTCATTTGATTTGAATTGGTGACAATATACGGATTTGTGATATAAGAGTTGAAATCAACCAATATGAGTGAAGGTTATAAAGTTGCGATTTTAGTCTAGTTGGCTGCACATTAACTAGTGTCTTTTGCTGAAAACATTTCTCCTTGTGATGCATTACCATAACCACATATTGAATTCTCTGTCAATTTGTAGTCTAATTGAGATTAATCAGGCTGTCACCTTTGTTGAGTTCTTACTGTTAACGTCTATTGTTCCAAGAAATAATAGTCATAGTATGTTGAAAACTTTTCCATTTTGGTATTGTATGTAGGTATCAAATACCCGAGGAATGGCCATACAATGAAGCTCGCCAACTTTTTAAAGAACCTGATGTCTTAACCGATGAAGAGCAGCTTGATATCAAGTGGACTTCTCCGGATGAAGAGGTAGAAATTTACTTTTCCCCTTCTCTGCTCCACACAATTTCATTGGATTCTTTCGGACAGACTCTTAGCCCCCTTTTTTTGCCTTGCCAGGGTATAGTAAACTTTTTGGTGAATGAAAATGGATTCAACATTGATAGGGTAACCAAGGTATGCTATCATACTTTGTTCCATATTGCCATATTTGTGCAATCCTTTATTCTGACAAATATTGGGGATGATCTGATATTCTTATATAGGCTATAGAGAAAATTAAATCTGCAAAGAACAAATCATCCCAGGGCAGGTTTGCTCCTTTCGAACGAATTAGTGGTGATTGTAGCTTGTACCTCTCTTTCCACTAATTTCTTTCTTAAACATTTCACAGGCTGGAGTCATTTTTCAAGCCAGTTGCTAACTCATCCATGCCTGCGAAGAGAAAGGTTTGTCTCTTACAATTTTGTATATGGTTAAACCCATTAGTTCTTAAGCTCCTTTCTTTCTACTTATACATGAATGTGTGCGTCTAATTTTCTTAAAGTGCATAAGAAACACTGATTAGTATATTGATTTGCAAGTAGAAGGCTTTCCAAACCGATGTTAAAACAATGCTCCGATTCTTGGTTCTCAAAACATTGATTTTTTGCATGCTTTCTGTCTGCATCTTGTGATACGGATTTCATTGTGTCCATGTCCATGTGCTAGCCTACCACAAACTCTTAACACATATCAACAAGTGGATGAAAATATATGTATACTTTAGACACTCTAGTTAAACTTTTATATGCCTAGTCGTCTCTGAGGTGATTCCTCAATACACTGGATCACAGGGTTCCAAATGCTTGCTCCAGCAGTATAAACCAGCTATCAGCAATAAAGTGTTCTCTCTGCATGATTTTGGATGGAACACCTCCAATAACATTCTTAGCCATAGGCTGTTCTCTCTATCCCCGGGTTCCAACCTTTCTGTTCAAATGGCTGGAGCTGGCATAGGCACAAGATTCTAAATATCATGGTGAACATTTAAAAGCAATCTGCCATAACTTACGTATATTATTTAGCTAAGTGTTATGTGTACGGCTTTGAGCAGGAAACTATCTTACATAGACTAAGTGCCTCCAATCTTAAGATTCTTGGGTTAAATAGAACACTCTACTTTGAATTTCACATTTTTCTAGATATACATCGATCGTCTGGTATTTATGAGCTGTTTTTTACTTGCTAACAGGAAATCCCAGAGAGTACCACTAAAGGAGCAACAAATAAGAAAACCAAGGGAGGTGGTGCGAAGAAAAAGAAGTGAATCACAGTCTCAGTTGTTAATGACATGGGGAGAAGATCAATAAACTGTCATGGTTTTTCCTAGGTCTAGTAGTCTGTTTGCTTTTTGCATTTCTCTGTTTCCGTAACCGTGGTTGGTTTTGCTTTCTCAGTGACAGAAAATTATTCAGGTCGACTTCTTCGTGTTATTACGGTTTATGTGAAGGTATGATCATGAATTGTCTTTGGACAAGGAAAAAGCTTGTGCTTGTGTGCTAATTTCAGAACTCTATGTGATGTTAAAGCAAGATTCCAGGTTAATTATATCTAATCTAAGGGTATTACTTGGTTCAGAAAACAGGAGGGGTGCCAATAACAAAGATTCATAACATAGTAAGATAAACAAAACATGATAACATAAGAAATTTTGTATTGAATAAAGATTGCAGGATTTTACATGAAGGCTGAGACAGGATTCAAACAATGGTGCAGCCGCTTCCGCTTTCATAGGTACCAACAGTTACGACGTCACAGGTGTTGTAGTAAGGATGGCAAGGCTTGCACTCTTTCTTGTCTTCTTTTTTCTCAGGAGGTTTTGGTGGTCCAACACTGACTACTACTGGTTTCTGTTTTATCTTCCTAAGCTGTTCTGCAATGCACACCGGATCCATTGTACCCACCACGGTTAGTAAACTCTTCTCTTGATCTAGTGAAACCTGATTCACACCTGCGTTCAAATCTCTCATCATTTTAGTACATCTCTCATATATCCGCGGATTAAGTAACATCTCTTTTTTGTTAATAACATACCTTCTAGCTCTGTAACGGTCTGCATGATATCATATCTGCATTTCTCACAGTTGATATCCACTTTGATCTCGACTTTCTGCTCAAAACCAAAACAAATTAAAACCAAATGATTCACGAAAACACAGACCCGGATTTTTTAGTGTTTAATAGTATGAACATATTGTTACCTTAACCGTCATGATGGAAAGATTAGTTGGGAAGAAGATGGATTATGGAATTTAGAAATGAATCAAGGAGCAAGAAATTAAGGTCTATGAAGCATTCGAGTTTTGTCTCTTTTGTTCTCATTTCTCAACATCTTCCTCTTTATATAAGAATTTAACAGTTTTGAAGACTAAATCATAACGACTTGACTTCGATTAAGTCTTTTGCTCCCAAACTGTTGCGTCAACAAACTCACTGTAAT